CCCTCAAAATCAGATGACTTTCATTCATAGGAAATTATTACTGCTCAGAAAAAAAAATCTTTTCAAAAACCTAAGAAATTTCCACGTGACTGTTTTGTATAGTGAGGAACTAATGTAGGGAGGTTTTTTGAGAACACCTTTGAAAGCTGCTACGGATTCGTGACTCGGGCAAAATATGATATAATAATCAAAATTTTCTACGGATCTTTTCTAAAATGTAAAGCTGTACATAATCAAAATACTACCCAATTACAATATTCTCGAAGTCTTTAAATTTTCTAATCCGCAATTTGAGCCAGACGTTTTGAATCAGTTCATTCTGTAGAATACATCCAGTGGCAGCTAACCTATACTGCGGCAATCATCTTGGCAGCACTTTTTCCTTAATAGACTCAAACATCTATATTGCTCTATACATTTGTTTCTTTTTCTGGTAATTTCTAGAAGAACTAGGCAGCGATATGCAGTATCGCACTTGTTCCTTTGCTTTAATGTTGACGAGTATGTTCTGATCAAGTTTTTCTGGAAAGAAGCTTTGACTGGGTACAAGTTCTAAGTTGCTTAGACCAAGTAATGTGGATCTTCTGGAACTTATTCGCTGACAATGGCATTGCCAAGGAATTTCTGCCTAGGGAAAGGGTTTACAACTCATCTTTTCTACAAATATTGTGTAGTCCTTTGAATCCAAAGTATTTATATGGAAAATTAGTGCTACAGTCTTAAAAGAATGCAAAGTTTGGAATCGGTAGATCGAAATAGAAGCTGTGCTTTGATCAGAACTGCAATCCCAATCAATGCAGTCCCTACTCGACAGTCCATGGGCCCCGAGGGAGCTGCGACATCACTCACCATTTTCTAGAATCTTTTGCCTGAAGTTAATCTCCACTGTTCTCTCGAACTGTTGTAATTTCTCGCAAGGAGCCCCTCCACACCCCTATCTACTCGATTATTTGAGTGTGAATGGTGCTCGATGGGCAGACATTTTGCCTGGAGGATACATCTCTCCTGGCTACTCTAATATGGAATACCTCCGAAGGCAAACGCCCGTCCACGACGTCGACGACTTCCCCCCTCATCGAGGAGGGGCGTGGTCGAGCGGGGGTTTTTCCTCGAGACGGAACGGCGTCTTCCGAGGTCATTAGTGCTACTGACCCACTAGCCTACTAACCTAGGATCTGCTCGAAAGGCATGAGCTCTGCACGGGTGGAACTTTCGTCGACCAGCGTTGCTGTCGGTGCAATCATCGTCAAGAAGGAGGAACCGTCCAGTACTACTGGTCCTACACAAGCTGAAGGAGAGGAAAATCAGCGTATGTCTAGCTAACAAATCTTTTCATCTCTCAATTCCACAAAGTATCTTCCACCTCATATTAGAAATGCTGCTTTTGGTGTCAAAGCGTTTATTTATTTGTTACATCTGGTGGTACTCTGCTTACATGTGTTCACGCATTACGGACTTTTCTACTTGCAACATGTTTGAACGTTAGTTTGAAAGGCGTCCGCAACAACACAAGCTCTGAAAAAGGAGATTTCTTTGTAATTAATTCTTCTTTTTTAATAAGTTTACCTTATGACAAATATTCTAAGTCAGGCGGTTCTAAACTGCTCTTTACAATTTTTTGCTAATTCCCTCTAAAACAGTCTGTTTTCTTTCAATTTGGAATAAACAGTTTTTTCCGTAAGGCATTTAAAAAAACACATTAACAATCATGAAAGAAGCCAAGTTCATTGGAAAAGCTATAACTGCAAACTTTCCGAGAAATCAACAATGAGTCTAAATATTTATAGCACATAGTTGAGTTATTTATTTGGCTAGATAAAATTACTTAATTTCTCGAAAATTAAAATCATTCCATTCTAACCAAGAAAAACTCGCTTGCGGTCTCGCACAGAGTACCTCGAACTGTAAAACATCTGCATCTATGTTCGTTTACGAATCGTTGTAAATGGGCTGAAGGCATGTTTAAACGGTAGATTTCTTTTCCTCGTTCTTTGGACTAGGTCAGATATCCCATGTTAAAGTTTAAAACTCTTTGTTCCATAAGTCTTCATTGTTATTCTGTTTGTTTTCATGTGTTTTATTCCATTTGTAAGCTGAGCAGTTTTCCGTGCCTTCTGTTTTGTCCTGCTTTGTCCTTGTTTATTGTGTCTCTGTCTGTTTTGCATGTTTTCCTCGTGCACCAGAACAGCAACCCCATTTCCCAATTTTGCAAAGTTTTTATGATACTGAATTCATCCCATCGCAATGTATCCGTATCATTTTCAGCTCAAATAGAAGTCATACCTTGTAAGGTATGCGGTGACAAATCATCCGGTGTCCATTATGGTGTAATTACCTGTGAAGGATGTAAGGTGAGTTTTTGTCATTGCGTAAGCTAACTGCTCAAGTTTTCCAGTGTTGCACAAGTTTTTTAAAGGTTTATTTCAAAAATTTTTTTGCTTTTCACCTTCATTATTATCACTATCAGCGATAGGAACGTATGCCTAATGAATATCTTGTTAAATCTAGGGATTCTTCCGAAGGAGCCAGTCATCGGTCACGAACTATCAATGTCCGCGGCAGAAAAACTGCACAGTTGATAGGTAAATATCGGTTTTCTCCAGTAATGAAACTACTTTTACCCGTTACTCAACTCGCTTCTTTCAAGGGTGAATCGCAATCGCTGTCAGTATTGTCGATTAAAAAAGTGTATGGAATTGGGTATGAGCAGAGACGCTGTGAAATTTGGACGGATGAGTAAAAAACAACGAGAGAAGGTGGAGGATGAGGTCTGCATGTATCCTACCCTATGTGTCTTCGTGTGCAAGAGTTCGTCGAGAATTTAATCTCCTGAAAGAGAAAAAAACCGACGGCATGAGTGATTTTCGTCATATAGTGATGACGTTTTCACGCATGAAACTTTCGAATGCAAATCCCCATTGTGTTTGTCGTCTGTCTAGCATCCGTTCTTACCCATAATGTACCTGTTATGAGTGGTGCATAGTTTCGAGACATTGTTCAGGATTGCAGTGTTTTGTAGGTACGGTTACATAAACAAATGCAAGAGGCTACTGGAATTCCTTACATGTACGGAGAATACTCCCCTCCATCACAGCCGTCAAGCTACGCTGCTCCTGGGTAAGTGCTTCGCCATCAAGAGTAAAACTAGATCATCTAACTTATTAGTTGCTTTTATTGTAACAGTGTCAACCGGTGAGGTTTAATTTTTGTATGAAACTTGCTGTTAAATCGTTAAGGGTAGATTCACTACTTTTTAAGTAGCAAAAATTGCTTCCCCATACACTTTAGTTTTAGGTACGGTAGACTGCGCTCTACGTATGTTAGTGTACTCTTTTGTTTACTCAGTACGGTACCGTTGCGTGGGAACTGAGAGCGCGGGTACTGTAATTACACCTCGATCCAGTTATGTGAAGAACGAGTTTCGAGATAAGAATAATCTAGAAGTTGTATAAGTATGCATTTCTGCCAACAGATGTCCTCTTTTGAGTAGTAACATCCAGAAACTCCAAAAATAAGTGTTTTTTCACCAATTATTCTGCAACAAATATGTGGTTTATACCTGGCAAAAGCTTTC